ARRWRAAAAAACTGAATTMAACTTCAAAATTATATTCAAAKTCTASGTTTTATTTTTAGAAAATCACATATTGGYATTAGACCAAATAACAAAWTAGGCATCTCAARGAAACAGAGATTGGAYTAATAAATATTTACATTCATTTTAATTACCTGGAAGGAYTWTAACYGATTCTTCTTTTGCAAGCTTGRYACARAAGTCCAAATCATSCTTGATTCCGYCAAAGAAAGATAGATCTAATTTCACCTTTTCAACATAAACCAAAAAACAAGGGTTAGGGATCGAGGGCAATTGTATGCACTATTTTTCTTGTATCTTTGAACCAAATGCAAAAAACARCGACTTAAAATACGTAAAATTGGCATCTATTTAGCTACTTACCATAAGACACATCGATCCTTCAGGTTTGGTTGGGCAAGTTAGACCTTGGATGTCATTAATACCCTCATAACAAGAATTTGCAGCTTCTTTAATTAGATTTACAATTTTAGAAAAGAAATCCTCTTTGGTTTTGCCAAGTATATCAGGAAGGGCTCCCTGCACAAAAAAAAAAGAACTCCATGAAAAAAGCATGAAGATTGAAGAACCCCTAGTTGCCTTTGTCTTGAAGATAAACTCTCTGTGCCCCGAAAGGACTCCATTTTAAACACAATAAGGATTCTAAAGACAATCTTGTACATGGTATTAGTTGGAAACCTGAATGAATGTTGGGGGCTTTGTGGATTCATCAAGTGATCCCCATCCCCTAATGCCATCAATAATCTGAAAAATAAAATTACAAATGAGCACAACTCATAAATAAGTTTTCTCAAAGCATATGTATCTATGTATATCTTAGAAAGTGAGAGAACCCCGTGTTCTTTAAGGATGCCATGAGGATCATGGGTAACAAGCCATCCCATCCGCCAACCAGGAACGATCCACCTCTTTGATATGGAACCAAGGGTAATGACAGGAGTTATCGAAGCAAAGACTCCCATTGGAACAAAAGGGTTCTCCCCAAAAGTAAGATGACCATAAACTTCATCAGAAATCACTAATATTCCAAGCTTCCTKGCAGTCTCAGCAACCTAACAGAAAATTACACCCACAGATTGCTCATATTATTRTCAAGACAACATGATAATAAACAAATCAATCTGTCGACACTAAACAAAAATGAGTTTATAGGATGTTAAAAATGTGTAAAAGGTCCTAATAGCCAGTTTTATAGAAGTTAAGTTTATAGCACATGTCCTATGTAAAAGCATTGCAATAATTTTTATAAGACGTTTAGATTTTGAAATAAAACGTTCTATTAATATTTTTATATGACATTATTTGAAAGTAATRTCTTATAAAATCAATTGTTCAATAAAAAGATGTTAGCATAGGACACTTTTCTTATAAGTGTTACGTAAAATAACTAATACGACACTAGTTTATTTTATAATTGTCCTAAAAAATTGTTAAAACATACGGGACGTGTGATCCTATAAACTTAATTCTTATAAAAAAAATCTATAATGACACTTCGACATTTTKTGTCCTAGAAACATGATTTTATTGTAACGTGATCCACACCGAAAAACAAAACAATAAACACATATGCTCACCTTCTTTAGGTGTTGGTATGTGAAAACATTCGCACAAGGATTTCCGGGGTTAATGATGAGCATGGCAACTGTATTTTCATCTGCAACGGCTACCACTGAATCAARATCAACTTCCCAGTTTTTCTCTGGTAGAAGGTCAAAGTAGCGGACTTCTAGATTATATAATTGAGCAAAAAGACCATAATACGGAAATCCTGGTTTTGGGAGTAAAATATTTGATTTGGAACCAGCAAGAACTTGTAGTATGCCTTGGCCAGCTTGTTTGCATCCCATTGTCAAGAATACATCATCAGGTGATAACTTATCTGGAAGATCCTGAGATAGGTACTCCGCTACAGCCCTATAAAAGGATATAGAGTCAAAATCAAGACAATGCCCGCACCCATTTCGGTTTATTTTTCCCTGTTGCAAGATGCGATGTAAAACAGGACAATTAAAAAATTCAGTTTTTATAGAAATCAAATATATCTAAATGTTGTAATAGATTTTTTATATAACTTAAGTTTATAGAACAAAAAAGTTGTACGTGTTACATAAATGTGTTACAATAAGATGTGAAAACATATTTGGACATCCTAACAAAAAAATGGACATGTTTAAATTGAAGTGTCCGCGCCTTTGTGTAGCGAGATCCTTTGTTTTTGACCTCCCAGGAGATCAATGATTCAAGTGTCATCAAATGTATGGAGACTATGTAATCTTCTGGCGTCGTGGGAATTACACATATAGAGATTCAAAAAAGAATTGGCTTGCTTATACTCTTGAAAGCAAGGCGAGAAGCGATTCTCTTAGCCTCAAAACTTTTGTCATTCCGGCAGAGACCCCGTCGCAAGTTTATTTGTTACATTTAGGGTATATAAATATTATATTATTAAAAGAACTGTTTTGTATGCCATATGTTCTATCGAGACACTTATTCAATTAATTTGATTTTTAACACGATATTTTATTTCGAAATTGCCAAAAAAAAACTTGTTAGTACATCAAAAGAGATCATATCAATTTATCAGAACTTTGGGTTCTATAAATTAAGTCATATTAAACAATATATTAAAAGACTTACACATCAATTAACGTCTTATAAAACAATTTTGTTGTAATGCTATATATTAAATGCCCAAAAGTTCCTATGTATTAGAAATTGATTCTCAAAGTCCCCCTTCTGGAATGAATGTTGGTATTAGAAGGTTATGTACTTAGAATGTAATTTTTAACACAATTTTTAAATTGATATGTCATCTTTGAAAAGTATCAAAAACTACTTTCTATTACAACGACTTTTACCAAATCTTTTAAATTACACCTTAACATAAAAAAATATGTTTTAAACAAATAATAACAAAGATATTATTTTTTATATTTTAATAACAAATAATTTATTAATTATATAATTAATATAAAGTAAAAAATATTTTAAATTTGTAAAATGTTTTTGATTTAATAAATAAATATTTATACTTATGCATTCAAAATTTTGAATTTTAAGGTAGTTTTTAATGTTCTTGTATCTATACTATATTATAAAGTATTTGACAAAAACTTTTAAAAAATATTTTTTATGCATGAAGTACTGTTTATTGATTTATATTACTTAAAATTCAATATTACAAGTAAATTTTGCGTAAGTACAACTTATTAAAGCTTCATATTTGAATTCATGAAACTAACTGCAGATAAAAATAATCAGATAGGGGATAAACATCTCATTTTAAATATAAAAAATCTAAAATATAATCAGGATAGTCATTGAGTTCTGACAAAATACCTAATTATTTATATTTATAAGAAAATTATATTTTTAAACCAAATATAAATTACTTCGTTATTTAACCTAAATTAAATTATAATAAAAAATTGAATTAAAAAATTACATATGAATATGAATTTTAAATAGTTAATTTGATATTAGTATCGAGATATATTTGTCAAATTTTTATGATATCTTTAAATTTATATTTTATTCCAAAATAAGAACATCATCGCTTTTTCATAATTACATAAGACCATATTATAACATCGATTGAGATAAAAAATAAAATGAAATATTAAAATCAAGTTTGTATTTTTATCTTGTAACATTCTTATTTGTGTTGTAATATTTTCTATTTTTTAGTATTAGAAGGGTAGTCGCATAATACAGCGAGATACATCTCGATTTTAATGTTTCGTCTTATTTATTTTTGTCTTAATCGATGTTATAATATGGTTTTACGTGGTTTTGAGAAAGCGATAACGTTTTTATTTTTGAATAAAATATAAATATGAAGATAACATAAAAAAAATTGATGTTAGTACAAACTAACTATTTAAAATTTCTTTTTTTTTATATTTCTTTAATTCATTTTTTTATTTTTAGTTTAATAATATAATTTTTTACAAATTATGTGTTATCAGTTTTCAAGTAAAAACCATAAATTTAACACCCCAAGAGTGTTAAATTTATAAGAGTCTCTTAATTATTCTGATTATTTAATCATTTTGCATCATATCATTCAACAATTGTCAAACAACCCTATGTTAATAACTAGAGTGACCAATAATGAAATAAAGTAGCAACCGGAGTGTAGTTACTTTAAACTAATACTAGTGTTTTCAACAATTTATGTGCTACAGCTTTCAAATTACCGTCATAGCTGATACGAACCTAAAGATGACAGTTACCAACTTTCTTATTGTCGTAAATGAAATGATATATAATTTCTGTGCCGAATGAACCCACAAATACATAAACAAAGACACGTCCCATTGAAAATAAATAAGAAACCTTTTGTTTTAAAACGCAGAAACAAACTTCTTGAAGAGTATATATAGCCAGGAGGGAAAGCGGAAATACCTTCTCGCAGGGAGAATACCTACGGTCGGAGAATGACCGTTGAACTTAGCAGAACGGACAGCATCGGCAATGGCATCCACAGCAATCTCGGTAGTATTGAAGCAGGGAAAAGCAGAAGGTTCGCTATGAGCCATAGGAATGACGGGTCTGTTATCGGATTGATTGAGTTTTGATTCGAGCAAATTGAGAGCACCTCTAATGGTGGTATGTGGCTCCGGCTTGAACTCCGAGTTCCCTCGGAATCCCCATTTTTTCGGCAAGGTTGAATTATTCTCCATTTGTTTCCTAGTACAAACTGGATTTGCTGCCGATAGTGATGAAGGTGGCAATGTGATTTATAGCAGGCTGAGAAGCACAACTCCAGTCTCTATATCCTGTTGCCTTTTTTTGACTTCATTTGAACTTTCAAGTCTTAGATTATTTAAATAAATAAGTTTTACTTTTCTCATCTTTGGATATTAGATAACTAATAAATAAGATATCTATGGATTAATTAAGGGGAAAACGTTTATCTGTGTAAGCGTTTACCAAGTCATATTACTTTATCGGATGAATATGGTAACGATCAAGAATCTTACCCGGTAAGAATTTTATTGGTTAAAACTCGTTTAATTAAACATCAAATACCATGATTATTTAAAAAAATAATTCATAACCTTTATATTTTAAAGTCAAAGTTTCTTAATGCGATTTGTGATAACTGTAATTTATTAACACAACTGAGTATTTTTTTTAAATAAAAGATTTGTGAGACTAGCACAACAATTTTGACTGTCTGTTCATCGGTAAATTAAAAAAAACGGTGCGTGTACTTTGATTAATCAATTTTTATTTATTGAATCATTTGTCAACAATAATATTTTAATGTAAAAGGTTGTTTGATTCACCTGAATTCAATTTCTTAATGATATTTAGCTCGCTGAATGAATGGATTGGATTCCACCACTACAAAAATATAGAGTATCAACGAGGGAAAAATCTTTCACTAATCGGTCGTTAAAGGCTTCATCCATTGCTGATCGTCTGTCGGTCAAAAAGTCGTAGGTAATGCTATCAGTGATGGATCAATGACGGATCAGCGATGAAAACTTTCAGCGACGGATCAATTACGGAAACTTTCAGCAACGGATCAACGATGGAAACTTTCAGCGACGGATCAGAAACATAAATTTTCAGCGACGGATCAGTGAGAGATTTTTCAGTGAAGAATTAGCGATAGATTTTTCAGCGATGGATTAGCAACAAAAATTTTCAACGACAGATTAGCGAGGGACTTTTAGCAACGGATTAGCTAGGGATCCGTCGCTAGTTTTTATTAATTTAAAAATAAATAATTTTATAATTACATAATTCCTATATTTAAAATAACAAACAAAAATTGTGAACAAATCAAAACTAACCAATTAATACAATTTAAAATATATAATTTAATGTTCAAATTCATATAATCTAACTACCGAGAGGTGGGGGGAAGAAACATATCCTGACTACCGCGTAAATGCATCAAAATGCTCCAAATCTGCCATACTCTTCAATTGGGCCTCCATCTCGGCTTGATGGCGTTCCTCCCGCAGCCGCGCCTCCTCCTCTACCCTTGTTAACTTTTCTCTCAACTCCGCTACTTGTAAAAATACAATATTCGACAAAATTAGTAATTTGTTTGTGATGAAAGTAATGAGAAAGTATATAACAATATAACCAACATACCTCCGTGTTGAATCGTATGATACCCCGATGCTAGTACTACATCTACCCCTTATAGTATAAGAGGGATCCTGGGAGGTCCTGAAACCAAAAAGGTGGCCCTTCTTCTGTTCTTCGACACTCTGCTCCCAAAGAGATGTCTCATTAGGAGGAGGGGTGTTGATACTAGCCTGTGACTCATCCCTAAGTGGTTAAAATTGCTCATATGGTTTACCAAAACAAAAACGGGAGAGGTTATATATGTAGAAATTTCAGCAGCATAACGGTTGTAAATCAAACATATCCAATGCTTGTTTTTAACAATTAAAGCATTATAATTACAAATGGTAGTTACATTCTTAACCTATATACTCAGTTTAACGTCTGCCCAACAATGGCAGACCAAACTAATAACATCACTATGTTTATTAAAATTTATTATGTTAAACCTACCAAACCTATCTATAAACTGAAGTAATGGTTTTAGAAAACTTACATAAACCCTAGCAGCTTTGGGGTAACTAAACTGAGGAGGATAGGTAGGGGGCCGGACGAACCTTAATCGAACTTCCGGTTCATGCAATGAGTGTGCTCAAACACCTTAGTAGCAGTTGGCTCACGGCCCATTACATGTGCCTACGTTAGACAATTAGGTTAAGTTGTAAGTAAACATAGAGAACAAATTACATATTCAAAAAAGATTATATACTTACTATTCTGTCTCAATGTTGTGTAGTACTGATCGATCCCTAGTGTGCCTGGATGACATCCCCTCAAATTGTGTGTTCCGATTGGCCTTATTGATCCTGGATTTCATTTTCCAAGGCTCGGTATCCCAAACCTAATAAAAACAGTACACATATGTAAGTCGGTACAAAAAACATGGCAGGTCATAAAGCTCATAATAAAGATACATACCTAGTGAATCATCTGAATCCAAAACCTCTCTAGGATCCATATAGAGCAGTGTAATCTAATCCATGAGAAGTTCTCACAGTTCCATTGCAAAGAACCGGGATAGGCCTCTACCACGACCCAGTCACGTGCAATGCTCATCTAATCTGAGTACCTATTATGCATGACTTTGGCCCATAAATCACGAACCATGTCATCCAGCTCTATTTTCCACTGGAACTTATCCTACATACATAATATTTATATCGATGTAATAATAGTAACCTTATATGTATAATTACATTAAAAAGGTACATCAACCCAAAAGCGCTGGAACATTAAGTCGTGGGCTTTCGGAGGGACTTCCTTCCATCTATGGCGCATACCAGCAAAGGAAGACCTAGAAATAGTCGTCATCTCTCGGTTAACATGGGCATCTTTAAACCTACACAATTAAAAGAATATATACAACACAAAATACATTCATATCATTTTGTTATATAATACAAAGTCTTATATCACATCTACTTACCCGTTGCCTAACAAAGAAAGTATGGTCGCTGGCTCGGATGGCTCGGTGTTGGTATCTCATGGTTGGGGCTTCTCTTAGACCCCGAACCAATCGAAGCTGGAGCCTCCACCTCTTGGTCATCTATATCTCGGAGGCCTGTCTTCGTGAACTCCGCCATGTCATCAGCGTACAGGTTGCCACGTACGCCAGCATAGTTGTTGCCCCTACCAGACATGGGGCTACCTCTACTACCATGAATGCCTCTACCGCGCTCTCAGCATGACATCTCCAAAAAAACAAAAAACATTAAACTATACCCTAAAAAAGATATAAAAAAATCGTGATTATATGTACAATCATTAAATAAGCATACAGAAGACAAGCTACTAATCAGAAGAATGATTAAATAACATTAGTTCATCTTCATCATTTGAATCATCATCTATCTCTTCAAATTATGGTTCATACTCGTTATATTCATTTTCTAGCATATCGTCGCAATCATCATTTGATTCGTCACCACCTTTATCTTCATTAATACTATGGAGTACGTTTACCTCTCATGTGACAAGATGAACATTATCGAGATCTTTTTCCAATGCTAGCGTTGTATGAGTTACCCTTTTGTTGATTTGAAAGAATTGTTCTTCATCCACATGATCATTGTTTTCAACATCGTTAATCATGTCGAACACTTCATATATGCCACGAGTCTTTGTCTTGACAACCGCCCACCAATCTTTCAAATATTTTGTCATCCAAGGATATGAAGTATAGTAGACTTGTTCTATCTGTGATGCTAGGACAAACGGGTCATCAAATCTAAGTCTACACTTATATGTGATATCTACCAAATTGTCCTTAGGGTCAACTCTAACCCCTAAGGCAGTATAACCAAGTGCATTTGAACATGACAACTACATGTCACACTGAGCCATAATACTCCACCTTTATAACATCATCTAACATTCCATAGAATTCAGACTCACACTTGAGGTTGTGTCGGATCAACAATGTCTTCTAATATGACAAGTCCTAAAAGATGCTTCTCTTTACTCAATTATGAGTGGTGCCGAACCAGCTAATTTTTATTTTATTTTTTGAACTATACGGACAACCCTCATAAGCATTTGGAAGGTTATGGACAAACTCCCAAATCTCTTCACCGGTTACCTTAGGTAGTGGACTGGTTAACACCCTGTTACCTTCCATAAATCCTTTTCGATCACGATGGAAGGGGTGTGTTCTATGTAACCATCTCCATGACAATCAAGCCATAATGATTTCCCTCCATTTTTTAACTGGAAGGAATCCACGTCCCCTATGCAATATGGGTAGGCTAACTTGTCATGCGTGCTCCAACCCGACAATATTGCATAAGCCAGTAAGTCGTTGACGGTCCATAGCAGTATAGCCCTCATCTCGACATTATTCTTACGGTATGCATTATACATGAAAAATACCCTCTCTATATAACATACTTAGATCATCTATTAGTGGCCTGAGAAACACATCCAGATTCTAACCGGGGCTCTTTCTACCAGAGATGACCAATGCAAGCTCAACATACAAATCTTTCAAATCCATCCAAGGAGGTAAATTGTATATGGTAATAAATACAGGCGATAGTGAATACAAAATGAAACCGTCAGTGCATAATCCAAGATAAACATTCCAGATCTCAGAAGCAAAGTTAGGATCCCTCATGTTGAAATGCTTCCAAACCGCACCATCACTTGGATGTACCTTTTCAACGGTTTCGCTCGATGATCATAATACCAAGTCATCTCTTTTGCGGTCTTTGGATACATATACAATCTTTGGAGTGTTAGAACAATCAGTAAGTACGTCAACACCAAGTTAGGGGCCTTCTTCCATCTACTGGTTTTATAACAACTTTCATTGCATACTCGTCAATAGGTCAACCCGGAATCATGCTTGTAAAATAGCATGCAATTGTTTTTATAAGCATCGATCTTTTTTTGGTAGAGGAAGATTTTTCAATCCCTCATTGATTCGTCGCAAATCTACGAGAGGTTTTTTCCGTCGCTAATATCTGTAGCTGATAATTTGTTTTCTAGTAGTGCACTAAATTCCAAGTTGTGGGATTTGATCATTCCTTAGTATGTGTGAAGGATTTGGTTCCATTTTGTGGCAAATGTAACATAATATATAATTTTGTTTTAGAAAATACAAAAATAACATTTCCATCCAA